GTCACCCTGCCCAGCTGCCTGAAGAAAATTAACACATACTTCCCTTGCCCTGCCATGTAGTATAGCATGGAAAAGTAAGAGCTGCTAAGATCATAACAAATGCAGAACTGGCTAGAGAAGAGGTCTTTCCTGTCCTGTCTGCCCACTCCTCACCACAGAACTTATTTTCACAAAAATATAGAACAGGTTGACTGTTAAACTTTCAGGTGAGGACCTTGTCCAACCCACAGTCTCCCATAACAAAACTGACAAGATAACCCATCTCTTAGTCATCTCCTCTATAAGATTTGCATTTTCTGCCCTCCCAGACTGGTGCCAAATTGTTCCCAATATAGTCTCTATTGCTTTGTCCCATTGTTTATATCATAAGAAGAGAAAGCATTTTCCCCTTCTGCTCTGAAAGACAGTTCTATAGACTAACAGTTGGCATTGCCAACTGATTAGATAGACAGATAAGTAAGATCAGCCAAGATGTCATGCTATAAGGAAGTGCTCCTAGCATTCAAGATTACATTTTTCTCCACTGTATTTATCTTCTTTTAATTTTAGATGAACTGGTTGCATCATGTTAAAAGATTCCTATTCCTCCATAGCTTCTAAGGTTTTTTTTAAGTAGATACTATAAAGTTTTCTCTAGTATGAGGTCTTGATATGTTGGAGCTTAATTAACCAGATACACAGTGGTGGATATGGCACTGAATAGGAAAATTTGTAAAATTTCATTTCAGATAGACCTGAAATACTTTTGAACCCTACATTAAATGTTTTGTGTCAAATGAAGGCTATTTAGTTATTTTATTTTTAAATTATATTAACTTTGAAATTCAAATAATGAAGTGATTCATTATAAAAAGATTGAAACTAGCATTTTCAGCTCTTCTGATGTTCCCCCGTATTTTTTTAATGAAATAATTTGACAGATTGAACTTGGATATGTGAACAATTGTGGTTCCCTCAAAAGTATGTTTTAAAAAAAAAAACAATAAATGTAGTCCTCGCAGAAAAATCATGCCTAGCTGTACCTGGAATTTCCTTGCGCATGATGCACGCTAACCCTCTGGCAGTGACAAGCTTAATTAATACTCCTTTCTACCCCCACCCACTCCTCACCTCCCAAATGACCCCTGTCAAAACACATGCTGTAGGTGTAAAGAACATGCAACAGTCCCATAGCACTGCACAGTGCAGGAGAGTCTTCCTTTAGGGCAGAATTTACTAAGCTCCTTTTATAAAAAACTAAGAAATAATTATTTCTAAGTTATTTAGAGCAACGAACTGGCCTAATGTACATTTACAGAAATGCTGTAAACTCAGTCTAAAGACAGGTCTACGGAAGTACAGTTTGGAGGCAGAACAGGAACAATCTCTCTTGTTTCTTAAAGTTGTTGCCTTTTCTGAGGACTTGGAAGCACTCCCTTTTGTGATCATTTCTCAACCCCTCTGTTCTGAGACTGCAGCTGCAGCAGCTCCCCTCCCCAGCCAGTCTTCCCACCATGGGGCAGAAAACTGGGCAACACAGCACACAAACGCTATGGAGGGAAAGCCAGAACCAAGTCATAATTTCATGCAATATAGTCTAAATTGTTCAGTCTCTGGAACAGCCTGAGGTAGCTAACACCAATGGGTGTGAAGGAGGTAATGCACAATTTACTGCATCAGTAAAGAGGATTTTCTATAAATGACCTGTTTTAGGTTATCCCAAATGGGTTAAAAATGAGAAAGATCACATGAATACATTTAACTAACATACTTTAAGGCCATTATGCAGACACAGCTTGAATTTAAATACATCATCTCCCACAGTAAACATCTGTTTTTATAATAAGGACAGGAAGAACAATCACATCATCCAGCCTGACTTCCTCTATAATGCAAGTCTTTTTCAGTCAGACATTCCTGCGATTAACTAAGATTGTGTTTAATTAAAATACATCTTCTGGGAAGCTGCCCATTCTTGATTTGAAGACTTCAGAGGATGCAGGATCTATCATCTTCCATGGTAGTTTTGCCCTGATTTGTTCTAAAATATCACTTGCCTTGCCTTACAAAGAAGAGTTTTGAAATAGAGAAGAATTTTGAAATACACCAGTTTGATCACCTTAAGGGCTGCCAACAAACTTGCACATCCTGCCTTAGAAAGAAAGAGAAGCACAAAGAGTCAGAGTCCTCACATTGTCTGCTGCCCAGACCAGATTGCTGCTACAAGCGCTTTCAAGATTTGCCTGACAGCGGGTGGAGTAGCCCAGGTAGTTCAGACCAATAGTCATGCAGGAAGGGTGTCCCCAGGGGAGTACCAGGGGACAGGAAATCAGTTCTCCGAGTTTCTAAACTCTTCCTCACCCTGATGGCTGTGTCACAACCGCTCCATGTCTTGGTAAAGCAGGTACAGCATTGTTCGCTTGGTGGATCAATTAATATTTCTAAAGCATGTCAAGATGTACGGCTCTGAATGCATGCTAATGCACTGAGAGGTTTGTCCCAGACCCTTATCTTAGTCCAAACTGGTGAAGAAGGGAGCCTGTTGCTGGAGGAAGTTCTTAGCATGGTAGAGCTGGCATCTCATCTGCTGTCAAAGCTACCTGGCTACACAGTGACACAGCAAAAAGCTGGAGAGATGAAATGCAGCCAGACCACTGCGATTAAGTACCCTATTACACTAATCTCAAATTGCAAACAATATTTTGCTGTTGAAGATCTAGAAATCTCTCCTTCCATCATACCTCATTAGTGACTAAACTTAAGCAAGGCAGGCCACTGAGGAATATTTCCAAACATGAAAAGACACTGCTCACTGCAGAATTATTGTGGGAAAACAGTGCTATGGATCAAAACCTAAAAACTTGAAAGTAGGTGCATGTGTGTGTGTGTGTGTTTTCAGAGCACAGCTCATTTAGCACTGTCTCCACTTACATGATTAGCCACTGCTGTCTCCCCAACACTGGCTAAAACAATATGCATTTTCCTCTCATTTTTATAACACTGACATTGTCCTACTCCTTTCCCAAGGTCAGTGGAAGATGGGAAAATGGAAGATGATGGCTCTTTTTATAATGGAGCTCCTTAAGCCCAGCAGGCTGGTAGCTGAACACCAGCCTGAACACTAACCCATCTCTGGTACTCCCACCGCCAGCACCACCACCAAACTTTCCTCCAGTGCACACGTTTCTCAGCTCCTGTCCTTGCCAAAACACTCACTGTCCATGGGAAAACCCAGCAGCGTCCTGGTGAATACATACCTGCACTCCTGGCCACAGCAGTGATGGGACTTTGTATCAACCTGAACTGTGTGAACCAGGACAGGCCCAAAGTGTTGAGTCAGCAGGGTTCAATCACACCAACAGATGGGCACAAAGCCTCATGAGCATCACCCGATGCTCGAATTTCTTTGTACTCTCAGCTGGTCTGAGGGGCCGTCATATGCAAAGCCTAAGGTATTGAATGAATTTCACAGGTCGACAGTGCAGCTGCCCCACGAGAGATTTGGTCCAATAGTACTAGGATAAATACTTTCTAAACCTTAGTAAAGCCTTTTTCTAACAGGTCAAAATACTCCTTTGCAGCCTGAGAAGAGGTTGCGATGGTATGTGGGAGAATCCAGCAGCTGACATGACTACTTTTGGCGTGCAAGCTGAACAAAATGCTTTCTAGATGTAGAGACTATCTAAATAATGAGGGAAAGTGTATTAGGTCAGGATAGCTCATTCTAACTAAGTGTAATTAGCAGGAGAAGGAGGAAAAAATAGCTCACTGATATTCTTTCACAATGTCCTTTCAAGTATTCAGGGACATTTCAACCAATATAAATATGCCAAATATAATCTTCAGTGTCTTTACCTACTTGCACAAGCAACTCGAGTCACATGCTGCTTGGGACTCTCATAAATTTATATTATAAACCCACTTAAATCTATGCATATAAAGTAATATACATAATATCCAAGAAAATGGTCATTCTGGGCTACTTGGCAGCTCGGGGAGTTGCAGGTTTTTAACCTTAAAGATGTATCTGGTAGAAATTCTTTAATGTACTCACTTGTCCTCCTAGTGATGTCTTAAATTTTTCAAAGACACTCAACTGTAATAATATTTTTAAATTTATGGTCTTAATGTTTCTCCATTTCACATGTGGAGGTTTGTTTAAATAGAGTACAACTATTTCTATTTAAATTTTCAAATCATTGCTAAAATCTTTCCTTTCATATTAGGTTCAGTAAATTATTCTCTTCTTTAGGGCTGAGGAAGGCTTTTTTGCGAAGTTATCATGTTTGCCAAAAATGAGGTTGTAGAGAATTTGGAGGCGAAATTATTTGAAAATTCAGGTAGATCTTGATAATCACTTGGATAAAACACGGGAACACTTTAGAAATACTGGAAATTCTGATAAGGCAATTCCCAGAATAAAATACAACCTTAAGTTGCAGAACATTTTAGTTTAGAAATTTTAAAAAAATTAATCAGAAGTGCTTTATTTGACCCTAAGCCAAAATTGTTCCTTTTTGCAGCTTACTTTAGATTGCTCAGAAAACTGACAATTTTACTTTCTATGATCAACTTAAGATGACTTTTTTTTTCTTGAATTTTCTGAGCTAAACAGCAGATTAGTTATATACCTAATCATTCCCAACTTTCTGAACAGAAATAAAATTATGTCTGGACTATATGCTGGCACTGCAGTAGGACAGTGTGCCTGAATATCCTGAAAGATAGACTTTTCTAAGCATCTGTGTGTGTACATACTGGTACTGTACTTGCTTCAGAGATACTAAAACCAGATTTCAAAAGATCTACCAAATCAAATAATTTGATCCAAGGTTGAAAGTGTCACTCCAAAAATTTTCGATCAGTGCTTCTCTCAGTGAACGCTTGTTCATGACCCAGCAAGTACTGAACTAATGCAACTCCCAAAGCTCCCTATGGATACAGAATGGTTCCAGCAAAGAGATTTCCAGTCAAGCCTGTGAAGAGAAACAAGTGGCGCTGCTCCCAGCCAAAGTACTCACCAATAATTCCTTGGAAGATATCTTATTACTTCTTCTTTAAAAAGAGGACTAAACAGAAAGCACAAGGCCACACAAAATTGACTTCTCCATGTCGTTATAACAACCCTCCCCCTTCTGTAATGCACGTGAGCCTGCAACAGCAAGCAGCAATCACACATAGCAATGAAGAGATTTCATCCGGTGCATTGTGAAAGTACACAATCCTTCTAGTAGAGCTCAGGAGATATGGCATTAGTGACGGTGAATACCACAGATACCTCTTCCTGTATTTGAGTGTCCATTTGTTTTGATGTGGGTTGTGTCATAGTGTTCTGGATGGGAATTGTGTGCTGGTATGGCAACACCAGGAGCAAAGTGTTTCTTGACTGCTGGAGCTCCTTAGGCTTGGAAGCCAAAAGCTGATGCTCTCTCTCTGAGCAGCTCCCGGCACAAATGACAACTCCAGCTCCCTGCAAACGAAGAAATCCTTCTTATAGGAATGACATCAAATCCAGGCACTCAGAGTTTATGTCAAGATCAGCTTGAAAAGGATATTAAATATTCCTACCATTGGAATTGCCTGTATTTTTCTGAAGCAGGCTGTGCTGCCTGTGGTGGTGTGTATGTAGGCTCTCTGCACTAGTTACAACACAGCTGGGGCGTGCATTTCCACTAGGTGTTTTATATTCTTATACATTCAATACACCACTTCCCAGTCAAACAGAAACCTTTAGCTAATTATTGGCTTAATTTCAAATTTTCCCCCTCCTGATTTAGTTTCCTCTTTATCAAAGTTACAAACATTTAGCTCCCGAATGTGTGATTGATTTGTAATTATTCTTGTCTCGCCCCTCATGTAAACCACAGTCATTCACGCTCATACGTCTGCTTCTCCAATTCTACTGCTCTCTGCAGATTTTAGTCAGAGAATCAATAATGGTAAGGGACTAGTTCCTCTGCTACACAACCAAGTGACAAACTACAACCAGTTGTAGTATATTCAGATTGAATCCCCTGCAGAGGACATAACTACATCCCAAATGTAATACAGACTGTAAAACTCTCACCATTCCAAGGCACAGACAGACCAGAGAACAAGGAGGGTCATTCCTCTTAATCCAGTCTCCTGTCAACAGGCTCAGCTGCACCAGAAAGGACCTCCCTGTCTGGGGCTTTCTCTCCAGGACTTTGACTTCTTAGGAAGGCCAAAGTCACAGTTCACAGGAGCTCAATTCAGTTGACTAAATTGAGGTGTCCAATGCCATCTGGAACTCCCAAAGGTACCCAGGACCCACAAAAAAGCCATGTCCTGGAAAAGGAGGTTGAGACCAGGCAAGATTGAATAGGATATCTCAGATCACACTAGACCTCCATGTCTATTAATTTTCTTTCTTTCTTGTGCTACCTGCCTGTGCTTTGCTACTGCTTCCTTAAACCTGCCTGGCCCAGGCCATCTTTCTGCAATTCTTCCCTTCTCCACAAGGACTTTATTGCGATTTTCAAAGCAGACTTCCAACATATGTTACCTTCTGGGGGTTCAAAGACTGGAGGATTCAAGCAATACATGTGATAGCCACGGTCACAGTCATCACAGAAGAGCAGCTGGTCCTGAGGCAGGTTTGTTGGGGAGACAGTAGGGAAACAGGGAGAGAAGGAGAGGAGAAAAGAGAGAGAAAGTGATGTAAATTAGTCTTTTGCCAAGATGAAAACATAAGCATGGTAACCAGCAGTACTCAGCTAGGAACACAGAGCTGCAACATAGAGATTGAGACTACAGGGAACGTAAGAGGCTATAGGCATCACATTTTTGTGTCCACAGTCAACCACCATATTTCTGAGAGGTCACAGAGAGCCCTTCTCATCACAAAGGCAGTTCAGTTTCTAACTGGGAAATCGCTCTGAGAGGTGAAGGACTTCCTCTCCAAGGTGGCCTCATGATGCAGGAGCAAAAGCTGTTAGGCCAAGGATATGCTGTAATGAGAGGACAGGTTTTGCTGGCTCCAGTGTGACCACATGCTGGATCTCATCCCTTTAGAGGAAACCTTTCCTGTCAAAAGCCTGGACTTAGCCATTTCTCCAAAACTCAGCTGAGTAAATGCTCTGTGAAACAGATGGAAATGACATTATCCCACCATGTGGTCTGCAGCTCTTTCATATATTTTTTGAGGAAAAAGTTGTTTTGAAGTATCCCATGATTCCTAACATAGAACAGCTCCCTGTTTTCAGATTTCCTTATTTATTGCTAATGCAAAAAAAAATCTCAGGCTTCAAATTTATTCTGCTATAGGGAATGTAGTGTTAGCTTCAAAGTTCTCCAGCCACTGTCAATTCTCCAACTTTCTCACAGACTACCAAAGGCCCTTGGCATCAGATTTTAACTGAAAACCCCTCAGAGAGGATATTTTTCAGCTGCAGGCTCTGGATCATGGGTTGGAAATCACTGGGATGGGTGATTAGGTGACTAGCGAGAGGCCTAGCCATCCCAGTCCAAATACTTTAATGTTTCCCAAGTCTTGTAATTAAGATTTTAAAATCATACCAAGAAAGTGAACAAAATCAGGGACAGAAGAAACATACCTGCCATCGCTTGGGTTATCATGCATTCACATCTGCTCCTGACTACCATATTGAAGATACTACTCTCTTGCAGCTCCCTGCAAGTTTATGGCCTCCAGCTAATTTCTATTGAATAAGAATACAAACCACAAGTATTGCCATTTTAGGTGGTCCTATACAATACCCGTGGTAATTTAAGCAGAGACCAATGGCTGAAGGGGTGCACTGGGGATAAGCCCATCTCTGCTCTCAGGAGTGGCTCTTCCTCAGAGACGTATGGAAGCAGCAGTATGGAAGCCATGACCCACACCATTGCCATGTGCTCCTCAAGGGCACAGTGATGCTTATTTGCATGGAAAGGTAAATGAACTCACATCGTTCTCAGAGGTCCCACAAAGGCTGCAGGATTTGCACTCAATGCACTGCCACTGATAGGTTTTTACAGCCTCAGTCATGTTTGTGGTGAACTGCAGGCAGGTCGGGTGTCCTGAGGAAGATTGGAAACAACTGTCATTGTTAAGCCTTAATTACTGCTTGTTAATTAACCAGTATTAAATCTGGGAACAAAACACACATGGACATGGACTGATCACAACATGGGCTGCAACTAACAGATACCAAAGAGGAAAGCAGGCATTAATCCTTTCGCTGCCGGGCACAAGAGAAAATCAGAGTCATCCCCACCCATTCCCCACTGGCAAAGCAGTTTTATTCAGAGCTCTTAAAAATGGTTTGGCTTTGGTTTGGTTTTTGTGGGGCTTTTGGAAAGAAAACAAGAGAAAGAATGAAATCAAAACCAAACCCAATTTCAGAGACAGCCCATCCATCTTAATAGAAATTGGACTACAGTTTCAATTAGCATTGTTTCGACTGGACTGAAGGACCTGGTTGAAATGAGGTTATTCTCTATTTCAGAGCTTCCCTGCCTGGTGTCCAAATGGGTGGAACAATTCTGTAGACTTTGCTTAAATGGAAGCAGTAGCATACAAAGAAGAAGCAAGACAGGATGGAGGGATACAGCTTTTAATTTTTTTAAGAGCTCTGCCACTAAAGTTGGTTGGCACAGAAGAAACCAAATTTGCACAGCTAATCTTCCAGGATCAAAACAAGAAACTGAAAGTAAAAAACCCCAAGCCAATTCCCACAACAAACTAAATGAAAGGAATAAAGAAGGAATATCTAGCAGAACAATCACATCTAACTGGGAAGGACAAATTGCCAGAGTTACAACCCCCACCCCTACATGCGTGTCGACTCCAGCTTTGCAAAACAGCGGTATCACAGTAGCAGGGTCAGCAATGGGCTTTCTGGAGGAAAAAATACAAGCAAACAAACAAACCAAAGGTAGGATCAGTGTTCCTTCTGCAAAAGAAAACAAGAAAAATATACCACTGAAATAAAGTGCTGTACTCCCAAACCACTTCCATCAGTCTGAGGCAGTCCCTAAGTCACCTGCAATAAGCTACTGCTTGCCTTCTTGGAAAGCCCCATATTTAGCATCCCTCTGACAGACATAAGCATTAACATTGTGCATGGTCAGGGGCAGGGGGCATGGGACAGAGATAACCAATTGCTCGTCTATAGAAAAACTAAACATAGAGGTATGCACATCCAGCACCACCACATGCTAGTTCTAGAAATTTATGCTGTCAGGTGCGTGGGTTTTTTTCACCTCTAGCCAATCTGCTGATCCTGCTGATGGAGGCGGAAAAGAGTTTTTCCTGCCCATATAATCTATAAGACTATAGCCAATGGGCAGGAAAAACTCTTTTCCACCAGCCTAAATGTCTTTTTTAAGAGTGGATAAAGAAAGGCTGCTACTCCAATAAGAAAAAAAAAAAAAAGGCACAGCTACAATAGATGTGGGCATAGATGTGTTATCTTCATTACCAGACCTATTAGTGGCATTTTGCTGTTGTCCCATCACCCATCACCACCCTACAAGAAGCCTCTATATTTTCTAGTCAGTGAAGCAAACAGTTGCTGAGAATTGCTGGGTAAGGCAATAATACTTTTACGTGCCCACGATACCACCAAATGGTGTAATAAGGATTATTACAGTTACATTTGCATGGTAGTGATATGAAAACTAAGCCTGTCCAGAAAAGAAATGTGTGTACATAAGTTATTAAGGAAATTGAATAGAAAAGAAAGGATATATTTAAGGAAGGAGGGATCAATGACATTGTTCATATCACTCAAGCCTTTGCATAAATAAATGTTTTGACGGCACTGATGAGCTCAGATGGGCTAAGAAGATCACTGGGTTTTTGAGCCCTTGAAATGTCAGCACAAAATAAGAGTCAGATTTTACTGAGATTTATAGTGGACTAAGCTGAAACTAAAGCTCTGGGGACCCTGAAGCTGCAACTGTCCAGAAGAAGATTTTGTGACACGATACCTTTTCTTGCTGAGAGGACCTCATAGAATTTTTGATACTACCAAACTAGTAGAACCTGACGTGACACTGAAATGTTCCTCCAGATCTGATTTACAGCAAATGTGGAACCTCATTCCAAAACAAGTAAACAGAACAAATGTGCCACACTACACATCGGGGAGGAATTAATCCCAACAGCAGCAAGGTGGCATCCAGAAAGGTTGTACAGTGCTGGAATACATCAGAGAAAAAAACTTATACAGGGAAGTGAGTTAATCAGAGAGTTAAACAGCTTCAGTCACATTTGAAAAGGAACAGAAAGAATGGAATCAAACTTACAGAAATAAATCATAGCTAAATGCATACACACATTCATGTGCTCACTTGCCTGCCTACACACATTGCTCATTGCACAGACTTCAGCTAGAAACTCTCCCTTTCTCAAATGACATGAAGGTCAGGTTCTGTTCACTACTGTATCTCTGCCTCTTCACAGCCATTCCTGATCTCTTCTAGCTATCAGTCTTGACTATCTCGTTCCTCATTTGCCTTAAAAACACCTCTGCAGGTTTTCTGTGCTGTATCATCCTTGAAGTGATCCATCCTATTTTGCAGAGCCTTTCTTAAGAACCACACCCACCACAAGTCAAAATGGGCTCATGTGGGATGAGGCTTGCTTAGAAAAATATTAATAGTGGAGTGAGCCAGGGTGGCTTCTTTTTAGTAGCAATATAGAAATATTTTGCAAAAATATACCAATTTATTCACTCCATTGGGGTCTCTCTCCAAATGCTGTGACTACAAGAGTCCAACAAATGCCCACAGCCTTGTCTGCATAGCTGTATATTCTGTGTTAGCCCAGGGCTTATGGCACATCTAAGGCAAAGAAAGTACCTCATGGATATGTGTTTCTTCAGTCTCTAAGTCAGATCATCTTTTGCATTAAACAACATGCCTTGTGGTACCATGACTCCAACCTAATGTCATTGGAAAGACTATTTTTACTTATGCCAGCAGCATGATCAGGCACTGTAGCATATGGCAAGCATGTCAGTAGATACTCAAAACATTAAAACTTTTTTTTTTTCCTGCCCTCCCTGTTCTCCTTTTTCACAATCTCTCTATTGTCCTACTACTTTGCTTTAAAACCCAGTGTTTTTCATGACCTCTGAGAGAATTCACATGTCCAAGACTTTCTGGAGCAGGGTTAGTGAACACTGGCCCTGCTCCATATCACAGCACTTCTTGGCACTAGCTCTGTGGCAGAATACCTGAAGACAAAGCCCTGCAGCTGCATATGGCAGGGTACTATAGGTAGATTCAATTTTTATTTTTTTTTTAAAGGCTAGTTTTGCCCACAAAAAATTTTGCTTTACAGAAAAAGCAGTCCAAAATGTGGTTCAAGTTTCAGACACTGTGGTAGTGCACAGACCACAGAATTTAAAGTCTTTCTTGCTTAATTTCATCACTTATGTGGTCAAGATGAAGAAATAGTCTTATTTCACTGATCTCGAGATAAATGGCATTTGCTACAGTGAAGGTGTGCAGCAAAGAGTCTGCAGCTGGAACTCAGTTAATAATTCAGGTGGTGGCTCAGCCCTGGCAAACCCTGGATCACTCTCACATATCTGTATCAGCTCCACAGATCTAACAGAGGGAAGAAGTAACACATATTTATGGTGTCACTGCAGTCAATAGACAGACCTCTAAAATACACCCCAGAAGAAGTTCTTTTGAAGGAGAAGGTGATATGTTAACATCGACAGTTTCTAATCTACCATAACTACTCTCTGCCTAAACTTTTGCTATGCTGCAATAGCTATAAACAACAGAGACAATAAAACTTGCAGTGAGGTTTCCAACAGCTCATCCCTTTGTCTTAAAGCACTATTTTAAAGCAGAGAGCAGGCCTGAAAGCTCCCTCATCTTTCTCAAAGCTCTTCTCTGGATCTGAACCCTGTGACTGAGACCATATTTTATAGTGACACCCGTGTTTCACATGCCACTGGCTTTAATTGTACACTATGTCCACCAGACATCTGGTTGGAGGAGTGGGGGGCGAACACATTCAGAGACCATTCCTTGACTCTCACAGCTGGTGCAACTGCAGACTGTTGGTAAGGAGAATTTTAACATCAATACCCCCCCTGCCAAAAAAAAAAATAAAAAATCTGGAAATCTCTTCTGCTTACGCTGGCTGTATAACACTAAAGACCAAACCTGACATTAAAGGGCAGGAGCAATCTGCTGCTTCCAGGCGCTCCGTGACCAGTGAAGGCCTCATTAGTGCTTCTTCAATAATGGATTCTGCATCACAAGATTAATTGCAGCCATGTGCTTTGTCACACCCGCCACAGACTATTTAAGTTAACAATCCAATCAATAACCTTTTTCAAACAAAGGCAGGGGAAAAAAATAAGCAAAGACTCCTTTTTTAAAACAAATGTGAAATTATTTATAGAGTAAAAGGAATTTTCACAGTTTCCAATTCTTTCCCTTATCTTCACTGTGTAGTGGTGGGCTTTTTAATAAATAGCATAATGAAAACTCACAGGGCTCCTGGCTGTATTACATCAGAATTTATTTCATAAACTATTCAGGTCTTTAAACAACTATACATACATATTACAGATATAATGACCTATGTCACAGGAATCCCATCTAAATAATGGAAGTTTTACATGCAAAGAAACTGCAAAATTTCCTCCTGCTAAGATTGAATAAGCATTGCTATGACCACTGCCATCATTAGACAGAATTATTACAGTTTTTCATACAAAAGAAGGAAAAAGTAACTTTTAATTTTAATGAGGGATATGATTTTATGGTTATGATATAAAAATTTAGCCCTTATTTGTATGCCTAAGAATGCATGCTTATAGCTATGTAGTGACAACAACAGACGGATTAGAAAGGGCCCTTAAAAACCCAAACCATCCAGCCACACTGAAAGTCTTGGCTCTGCCATAATCCCAGGGCTCAAGGAGCTGCAACTCTCAAAAAAAGACCAAACATTACTAAAGGATGAGGATGGGGGCTCTTAGCATTTTCCCGGCCCCTCTCATCTTGCAACATCAAGACGTTATGATTCAGGGATGCATGCCTG